TTTTTCTGTTTGTAGAGTCTCTTGAAAATGCTGTGGAGAGGAATCCCAGGAGGATGCAAAAACAGAAGTGGTCTCCAAAAGAGGTGGCAGCAGATTTGAGACACTTTAATGCACACCAAGGGGAAAGTGGCCACGATGATAGACTGCAGACAGTGCAAAGCTGCAGAGCATCCTATTCTGGCTGGTCGTTCTTTGCAAAATATTAGAGACTTCGTCAGGAGCCAAGGCACGACTCAGAAGAAAAAAGCACTGCTACACAAATTATGATGAAATGTAATCGAACATGCAATGAGGACAGTTCACAGTTCAACTTCATTATTATGTTACATGTAGGAGCAATGTTTTATTATAAGGATAATTACGAGATTAAAGCTGTTATGTTAGGAGAATAAAGATGAAATCATTCCGGGGGCTGAGGGGTCGTTGCAGCAGATAGTTATATTGAAGGATTGGAACTTCACGGATCAAACACTCATAAACAAAACGTTGCTAAAACAGAAACTAACTACCGTTCACACCCGCCGCCCTCTGAGCTGGACACATCACACAGGTGTCCTCTGTCTGCAGCTGGAGGAGAGAGGAGGGGTCAGGGACCGTCTACGAAGTGCAACACTGAATAAAGATATACTCAATAACTCCTCTGTTATAAAGCTATAAAACATCACATTTTAAATCACACAATAATATACTGTTGCTTAAACTACACATGCAACTTTGCGAAAATAGGTGGTTTTAGTAGTTTATTTGCAGTATTTTTTCAGTGTTGCACTTTGTAGACGGTCCCTGACCCCTCCTCTCTCCTTCGGCTGCAGACAGACACCTGTGTGATGTGTCCAGCTCAGAGGGCGGCGGGTGTGAGGTTGTTTTGATTAAATTGGATTGTGGATAGTTGTTTACCTTATTACGGTAGTTAGTTTGTGTTTTAGCAATGTTTTGTTTATGAGTTATTGATCCGTTCCAGTTCCAATCTGTCAATATAACTTTCTTGAAGATCTGCTGCAACGACCCCTCAGCCCCCGGGATAATTTCATCTTTATTCTCCGAACATAGCGACTTTAATCTCGTAATTATGACTTTATTCTTCTATCTTTTCTTTTGTGTGGCCCTAATCCTCTGTCGTACCAAGGTAATGCTGGAAGGAGAGTTATATGTTTAAAATAATAAATATTTAGTCTTAGCTCAATTTTCATGTGAGAAAATGTTATGTGAAAATAACCATTAAACTTGGCTCATTGTTCACTGTGCAATGTGCCATGTGTCCTTTTCTATCAGCTTTTAAAAGGTAATGCTCCAGTAGATGAGCAGTCTTGTAGGGCAAATAGCATTTTGTATTAGTGATAAACCAGTTCGGTCACTTTGCTATAAAATGGTTATCGGTTCTTTTCATATCGATGATGTAATTGCAATTAGCAGTGCTGCAAATATAAGCATTTACTTGCAAATGGATTGAATTCGTCTCGGAAGACCTGCTTGTAGTATACCACTGGAGAGTATTAGAATGTGGTTCTACATTTGCATGAAAACAACAGATTGCAAACAGGAGGCAAGCAATAACCAAACACATTAACATACTTTTAAGCTATATATCTATGGTGCACTATATTGTCTATTAAAATATTACATCACAAATCAGGTATTCCTATGCTGTATACATTTTGTCCGTTTATAAAAGGTTTGTTCTTGTAATGCACAATCCAACACTTGTCTGTGTAAAGTTATGTTCCATTTAATCATGTTTGTCCCTTTAATACACTTCAGTGACATGTTTGTGTGTTGTATAGCTACTGTCCTCACAAATAACAATTTTGTCATGGGCGGGGCTTATGCAGCTCATTATCTGCTGTCCTCATAATTAAGCATGGTGTCAGGTTGTTGTATTTTGAGTTGTGATGTGTGTATTGGACATTTGAAGTGGGATTTGTGTTGTATGGCTCAAAATAGATTTTTTGATATTCAAAACATCTTTGTAAAGCTAGTGGAAAGGGGTGTCCTTCTAATGAAGGAAAAAAACGTGTTTGGGTCAAAGTGTCCTTTTAGTTCACAAAAACCCGTATGTGTGTGTGTGTGTGTGTGTGTGTGTGTGTGTGTGTGTGTGTGTGTGTGTGTGTGTGTGTGTGTGTGTGTGTGTGTGTGTGTGTGTGTGTGTGTGTGTGTGTGTGTGTGTGTGTGTGTGTGTGTGTGCTTAGCGTACCGGAAGGCCTAATCACCCGTTGCCATAGCAATGAACTTGGGTGCTGTTCAGTTATTCATCCTCTTTTGTTTGCAGTTTGTTTTAAAGTCCAATCACTCCTTGTGGAATTTGTGGCATCCGCTGTCATTTTGTACGAGTTTTCAAAGCAATTTTGAACCACAGTCAAACATTTTCTTCGTCAGCCTACAAAGTGAGATTTAAAAAGGTCATCTTTAAAAACATTTGTATGAAAACTTAGTAGGTCTATACAAATAAACCTCACTTTTTTTTCAATCTTGTTCCTAACTTCTATGAGTACATCGTGTTATGAGTGATCTTGGGCTGGTCTAAAAAAGGGAATGAACACTGTGTGTACATTGTTGTGGTTTTGTTTAATCATGGAGACTTGTGAAATTACAGGGAAAGTCATCTTAGCGGATATTTTGCTCGCTGAGTCTGTGGAGGAACAGGACTAAATCAGACCTTCCTGTTTTCTGTAATGCTTCCCAGTTCCCAGTCCCCAAGACTTGATTCATTTGGGGAATGCACATGAATCCCTCATTCCCAACTAAGGATGAGAAACTCAGATAAGAGAGATGTTTACAGAAGCAGCTCTCTCCAATACGACTCGTGCCCTGGCACAAGTTTATGAAGCAATACCACACAACAGCATGTAGTTATGATTTATTGGCCCAGAAGCAAGGGCGGTTATAGGGGGGGCCAGTGCCCCCCTAACACTGGCCTCTGACCTCCCTGTGGCCCCCCTAAAAATGAAAAGTGAAAAAAATGAAAAAATGATGATTTATTACCAGTGTTGGGCAAGTTACTTAAAAAAAAAGTAACTAGTAATAGTTATAGTTACTGCTCTCAAAAAGTCACTAGTTACTTTATTAGTTACTAAATTATAAAAGTAACAAGTTACTTTACTTTAAAAATAATAACAATACAAATACAAGTGTTTGTGTTGTTCTGTGGCACAGTAAGAGAAAAGACAACTCCCCATCATTGTAGCATAATGGAAACATTAACATTATGGATAGATTACCGGCCCTCAAGCGAGTACTGCAAGACATAGCCCAAGAACGCAATGGTGAGAGATCTATTGAGGCACGTGGTCTGCTGGCACAGTTGGATCTAGAATTCATTGTGCATCTTGTAATACTCCGTAAAGTGTTTGCAGAAACAACATTTCTCTCTGACATGTTACAGTCTTCATCCCTTGACCTTTCAAAGGCTGTGGATTTAGTTGGATCTTTAGTTCAGACATTGAATGACTTCAGGCAGGAGTCATTTTTTGATAACTTGTGGGATGAAGTGTTGAACATTTCTGAGCAATGTGATACTGCAATACAGCCAGCAGCAAAACGACAAAAACGACTGAGCTCTAAACTTGCTGAAAGCTTCGTACTGACTACTGTTGGACAGAGAGAGACAGAACAAGATAAACACGGGTTTCGTACAGCCTTTTTCTACCCTGTCATTGATCAGATGCTCAATGAGCTTAATAGACGGTTTTCAAACACAAACTGTGACATGATGAATAGCATCCAAGCTCTTAACCCCAAAACTAATGCATTTCTGAAGGAGACAACTCTGTTTTCATTTGCTCAGTTGTATGATGCAAATATTGAGGACTTGGGGCATGAGCTACATCAGTTCAGCAGAATTTTAGATAGGAAAATAAAGACTGGAATGCAGAGACCTGATAGTACAGTGGAGCTTGTTCAGTTCATTGAGCCTTATAAAGAAGTGTTTTTTGAGCTCTTCAGACTCTGCAAAATAGCAGTCGCAATCCCAGTCAGTTCTGCTTCCTGTGAGCGTAGTTTTTCTACATTGAAGCTGGTCAAAACTTTTCTCAGATCCACCATAACTGATGAGAGACTGAGCAATCTGGGTCTGCTTAGTATTGAGTCAAGGAGGTCAAAGGCTTTGAATCTTGACTTATTTGTTGATCGGTTTGCCAAAAATCACAAAAAACGCAGGATTTTGTTGCTGTAATGTGACATTTTGGGAAGGAAACTACAGCCTGGGATGCAGACACCCTTATGTAAAGTAGAGATGTAACTGTTCATTGCCTTTATTTTTATATGTAAATCTGTGTGTTTTCCAGATATCACGTTTATTAGAAATGTGACGGAATAGACGAAACTGATTAGTGCACGTGCAGAACAGGTGTGCATTCTGTATTCAGTCTTCATGTTTGTTAAATAGCCTACGTGTCTGTGCTTATGGGAAATAATACATCTGAAATCTATGTTTTCTATCTATATCCATGTATTTTATTTCATTTAAAGTCAACATTTAAGATTTGTAGACTTTTACATTAAATCCTTTTCTGTGGATTTAAAAATGTATATTTTCTGGTACTCTTGTAAACTTGTTGATCGGTTTGCCAAAAACCGCAAGATTTTGTTTCTGTAATGTGAGATTTTGGGAAGGAAACAACAGCCTGGGATGCAGACACCCTTATGTAAAGTAGAGATGTAACTGTTCATTGCCTTTATTTTTATATAAATATGATATGGTGTTAGTGCAAAAATGGTACTATAACTTAAGCTGAAGCTAACAGTAATAACTATAAGATCTATCTGAAATAAATAAGTGTACTGAAACAAATACCAATAACTGTATTGCATTGTTTCCTTATGGCCAATTACTTCATACTGTCTAGTTCTATTTTTCGTCCTGCATTTATTGTGCCCCCCTCAGAAAATAACTGGCCCCCCAGTGGCCCCCCCAGTCAAATTGGTCTAGAACCGCCACTGCCCAGAAGTTCAGCTAACTCATATTACAGCCAGAAAATGGACCAGGTTTCAAAGAAAGACATTGGAAAAAATGACTATTTAATCAAATTGATTACTTAAAAGTTATATTAACAATGTTGTGATATCTCTCCATGCAGTTTGATGCTTTCACCCCTAGAGGGAAACAAATCACTTGTTGACAACTTTTCCTGATTTAAATAAAAAAATGTAAGACTTAACACATATTTTTTAATGTTAGTATTTATTACAGACTTTAGCATGAAAAATGAATACACATGAATAGGCTTGACTTTCATTTAGTTCCACTCATTGTATTTCTAATGATTCATTTGCTCCATATTTTCCTGATTAGTTGACTGTTTTTCGTTGGTCTATAAAACAAGAAATATGGTAAATAAAATGCTTGTGGCAACCTTCAAAAGTTCTGTTTATTAATAGCTTGATTTGTTAGATCAACATTACAAAAGCCATATACTGTATTTGATTTACTGTCATTTAAGACACCAAAAAGAAACACCAAACACGTTTGGACAAGCTCATAGAGAAATAACTAAAACATACTCTTTAATTGTTTAAATAACTGTTTGTATATTATAAATTGCTTTTTTTTTGTATTGACTGATTAATTGCTTGACCAATCTTTACAGGTCTAAATAATTGTATACAATTATTAAAAAAACGAGTGGTAACATTTATAAGTTAACATCCCTTATATTAGCTTACATACTGAATTGTATATATAAAAAAACTGTATCATCGTCTAATTCTTCGATATGTAAAAATCCCTTCATCTTATAATTTGTCACATTATTTTGATTCAGACTATATTAAGGTTACACATGAGCTTTTCAACTTAACACAGTATCAACAAAACATATCCCCAAGAGTGTTTTTCATAGACTGCGTCCTCTGAAAAAGGACATCTTATCTTGGTTGTGTTGTTACTCTGGAGGATGTGCACACTCAGCCTTGAGCTTATCCATGCTGTTGTTGAGGCAATACATGCAAAACACGGCAGCAAAAATGAGGAACAAGCTTGCAGCCACAAGAAGGATATAGCAGAACATGAGTAGCCCGGTCAAGGCCGCATTCGAAGGCAGAAATCACACGTACATCCAGCCCTTGTGAAGATTGTGGTGAACAAACTCCGGTCCCTCTTCAATCACCAGTGTGTCATAGAAATTAGCCGACTTGTAATGAGACGAGGGCTTCTCAGTGTTGGGAAGAAACTCCTCGTTAGGCTCGTTGGTGGTGGGAGTTTGGAGCATTGTGGATAAGATGGTGGAGGGTGGTGGTTTTGTAGTTGGAGTGGTTGTAAGGATGGTGACTTGTTGGGTAGCGCCTTCAGTGGTCGCCGATGTTGTCGTGGGCAGTGTGGTGGGCATTTTGGTGGGCATTGTGGTGGGCATTGTGGTGCAAGCAACAACTGGTGTTTGTGTGGTGAACAAATAACTTGACTTGAGTATCTTAGCATCGCAAAAAGTTGAATTCCTCATCCTGCAGAGAGTCAATGGTACGGAGCAGTTGTAACACAGGACTATGACATATCACATCCTGTCCGTCAAGAACAACATGCTCATGTTTTCTTATCCATTTTGCAATACCTCTAATACTACAAGTACAGTCCCAGGGGTTGCCACCCAGATGAAGAGCCTTCAAAACTGAATTTGACAAGAAAGTATCTCCTGAAAGAGTCTCGAGATGGTTATTCTTCAAATCAACTGTCAAAACCCCTCCAAGGCCCTGAAAGATGTTATCTGGTAGACTCTTCAACTTATTGTCATTGAGAAGCAGTATGCCAAGTGTGGTTAGTCCGGAGAACAGCTGGGGATGTAGATAAAGGAGGTCGTTGGATTTCAATGACAGCTTCTCGAGCTTGGGAAGGCAGCAGAAGAGGTCCGAAGGCAACTCCCTCAGCTTGTCGTTTAAATGGAAGTTAAGCCTCAAAAGTCCTGACATGTTTGCGAACACATTTCCAGGAACAGTGGTGAGATTAGTAGCATACAGATACAAGTCTGTCATATCAGGCATGTGACCCATTAGCTGGTCTGGTAAAGATAATAGCGGGTTGTTGTAAATGGTGAGCTTGGTCAGCTTTGGCATGTTGTAGAAGGTCTTTTCTGGGATAGCCTGAAGTCGGTTGGAGGAGAGGGTGAGGGTCTTAAGGTTCTTCAGTGACCAAAATACCTGAGGGGGAAGGATGGTAATTTGGTTGTGGTGGATCTTTAGCTCCACAAGGTTAACAAGTTTATCAAAAATCCCAGCTTCTAGCTCCTCCAACTCGTTGTTATAGATCATGAGCTGGAGAAGATTAGTCAAGGAGTGGAAGATGGTTGGTGGAAGCTTATTTATGGAATTCCTGCCAAGGTTCAGGAAGGTGAGTTTGGTCAGTCCATCGAAAATATCTGAAGCAGGACTGGTCAGTTTGTTCCGGCTCAGGTCCAGATTCAGCAAACTAACTAGTCCTTCAAACATATCCGGAGCTATGGTCTCCAACTGGTTCCCATCTAAATACAGTTGCTCCAGTGTCGCCAACGGACTGAAGACCCGAGCAGAGATGGTAGAGAGATCGTTGGACGACAGCTTGACAGACTTGAGCTGTGGAGCAACGTGGAAGGCATTGGGATGGATAGCATGTAAGTGGCTGTATGTCAGACTGAAACGCGACAGCAGGTCCTGGTCAGCCAAGCTCCGCTCATTGATGATGTTCATTTGAGTGCCATTAAGTTGCAGCAGGTACGTGTGGACGGGCAGATTATGTGGTATATCTGTGATGGCGTCGCCAACACACTTGACGGCACCTTTAAAGTTACACAGACAGCTGCCGGGGCACAGCATGTTGCAGGTGAGGTGTGGCAGTGTGAAGAGGATGAGTATGGTCCACAGGGTGCCTGCAATGTTGAAATAAAGACACATTTGGTGCATGAGATTCAATCTGAAATGAAATATGTGTCATTACCTCAGCAGTAATGATTTTTACATTTAAAAAAAATGCAATCCCTGACAAATAAATATAAAAATATTGAGGAAAAACATTTATAAGTATATGTATTTCTCTTAAAGGACAGTCAAAAGCCAGGTCAAATATTCCACCAACCTCTGAAGAGAGAATCCATTATTGCCTGTTGACAGTATGATGATGTTGCTGTGATGTGTGCTGCTCCTCTCTGCAGGGCCGTCTTATAGAGCTGAGCATCCTGTCTGTCAAGATCAAGGTCGACCCAGCAAAATAACCGCCCAAGTCACCCATCTCAGCACACATCCTTTATACTGCCCGAACCTCAAATGAACCCGGTGCCATAGACATGGAAAATAATAACAATATTTGCTGTAGGCCATGACCCATTTCATTAGGCTTCTATCATTGTGCCCATGTTTTACTTGACAACTCAGCGTTGAGAATTCTACAAACATTTTGGACCCATTGTAACCATTTTTGTATATTTACAATTATTCCGTTTTTAATTGTTGTTTTACTGACAGTATCTGTAAAAGCCAGTTTCGTACTGCTGTTTGACGAGGGTGAGTTTTGTTTTGACTTTGGACAGTTTGACTCTCCTTAACCTTATGTGCTAACTTTTTGCGGGAGTTTTTATTTCTATTCTTGGCTGCCTGGAAATGTTAAACTTTTGGCACGTATTATTATTTACTGCCAACTTATGAGTGACATAGAGGATGCTGGCTCATTTCCTGTGGACTTATCTCAACAGGATGGCCTGATCCCACTGTGCCAGCACTTCAGTTTATGGTGGAACTGAAACTGATAACACCCTTCCCTGTATGGGGTCAGTCATGGTGTTATGTGTCATGTGATGCATGTAGTGTGACGGGGCAGCTGTATGAACACTTTCACTTAGTTTCAGATTTGTATAGATTTAAAAACTATAGAAGCACTTTTTAAATGTGTCACCTCTCAGCGTGTATGTGTTTAGAGTAGGGGTGCACCGAATGGGAAATTCTTGGCCGAAACCGATACCGAAAATAGGAAACAGTTGGCTGAAAACCGAATGCCGAAAGGCCGAAAATGATTAATAGAAATATATATATATATAATGTATACATTTTTTACCAATGTTGTTCAGCTACCTGATTATGGAAATAGACATGATTATGGCAAAACTTAACTTAAATAATAATCACTATTATGGGTCCATAAAACATTTATTCAGCACTTTTGAATGCATACAGTACATTTATATGTCATGTATTATTGCTAAAAAACATTATATCGCAGTCTTAGTGTCGCCAACTCGTTTCTAATATGCAAAGACAACAAATGCGTCTATGATATATTTTCGATCAGACGAGATCTCTCTCCCCCGTCTGTGTGCGAGGGGGCGGGGCAGTTTACACACACGCAGCTGCTACATGCAGCGGAGCACACTGCGGAGATGGCGGAGAGAACGCGCTCCGAGGTGTGGTTAAACTTTACCCGTCTCGATGTGGAGAATACTTGTTACCATAAGTGCAATAAGAGTTTAGCATGTAAGCACGAGCAATTTGTCTAAACATTTAGCAAAAGTGCACCGCATGCAGACGGAGGAATGTACCGGGTTCGACCGTCTTTCTAGCAGCTCTGTAGCCCCATCCACGAGTAACGTTTCCACGTCAGGTTTTATGTATGCTAGCAGCAACACACGGAGTTAAATAGTTACACACGGAGTTATATCACTGGCTCAGAGCAAAGTCAAAGCCTTCTTTAACTGACTGATCTATTTCAAACCTGGAGTCTCAAGCTGCAGAAGTGTTTGACACCACGCCTCTCATGGGATGCAACCCACTCCAGGCCTGTTGGCTAACATCGATACAGTAGATAACTAATGAAACTGGACGTGTTTGTGTCTCCTCACTGCTGTAACAACCTATTTCAACCTGCGTTAGGAAATAATAAGGTAGGTTTTGGCATTCGATTGTAACAAATGTTTATGATAAACTTCATCATTACCTTTCATAGGAAAGAGAAACAATATATTTAACTACCTAAGGTATATAAGGTTAGAGTTGAATCTACAACATTTCATAGTAAAAGGTTTTTCATTTTTTTCTTTTTATAGTGAATAAGCATGTCAAGAGGAGAAATCATCGTTCTTATTTTGTCTTTGCTGTTTGAGGCTTCACTGAACCAACTATGTGAAAGGGAAACAGACTGTCCCAAAGAAAACCAGGATGTTTTCAGTTCATCTACAACAGAAATCCCAAGCCTCCTGAGACCAGGTGTCACCGAGTTTTTTTTTGTTGTCAAGCCCGATTGCAACAATCCCCAAAGGAGCCTTTGTTAAAAACCCGCAGCTTGAAAAGGTGGAGTTACTGTCCACCACCACGACATCTATTGAAACGGGAGCTTTTGAAGGTTTGGTAGACCTGAAGCATATTGAGATCTCAAGCACTCCATTAACGTGGATCCCAGTGAGAGTCTTTAAAGACCTCAGCAACCTAGAGAAGATTACCCTAAAATTGAACAAGCTCCGTAGTCTGGAAAAAGGCTTGTTTGATGGCCTTGACAAATTAACAGAGCTCCAGTTAAATGGGAACGAGATCGGATCGATTGAAGATGGGACATTTGATGGCCTGGAGAACCTCTTGGTGCTTCATTTGGCTAAAAACAATCTCTCTGCTGTATCAACCCACTGGTTTTCAAATTTGAATAAACTGCAGATACTACGACTTTACGAGAATCAGCTGACCTCGGTTCCTGAAGACATTTTCCAGAATTTGCCAAACTTGAAGGAAATTGGCTTGCATGGAAACCAAATCTATTTCCACATAAAGACAAACTCAATAAACTGCTTCTGGAGAATAATCTTCTTACAGGTTTGCCTGAAGGATTCTTCGTTGGCTTCCCTCAGCGTTTTACGCTGACCTTACAGAAAAATAAACAGACAAGTCTACCACCTGTGCTTTTTGGAGAAATGCCTAAATTGACAGATTTGAGCCTCAGTCAAAACAGTCTTAGCACCATTCCTAAAGGAGTATTTAGCCCTCTGAAGAAACTCAAGAAGTTAGATCTGTCTAAAAATCAGTTTGTAAAGGTGTATGCTGAGTACTTTGAAGGCCCTGAGAAGCTGGTAGATCTGAATCTACAAAACAACAAGATAAAGTCACTGGATGCAGATCTGTTTGAAAAGCTACAATCGGTGGTCACACTCAGGCTGGCTCACAATGACCTCCATACTCTTCCAGAGGATATTTTTGAGCCTTTATTAAAACTGAAGAAACTTTACCTCAGTGACAACCCGTGGCGATGTGACTGTAATCTGATTCCTCTTCGCCTCTGGATAAAAGCAAACTCTGACAAGATTGTGTCTGCTGCTGCCTGTGAGTATCCAGAACATCTAAAAGGCCAGAATATTAAATCATTAACAGAGGATCAATTGATTTGCCCCACTCTTCCCCCCACTACCACAACATTTCCCACTACAGAACCAACAACCATCGTTACTGCCACAACACCACTTCTAACAACACCTACCACCACTTTACCAACCACCACTCCCACCCAGTGCTGGAATTGGGCCGGTACTCACCGGTACGCAGTACCGGCACTTCTGGTTCTGACCCATGGAGTACCGGCACTTCTTGCTCAGTACCGGCATGCTGGCGGTACTCCGGTACTCATGCACCGTGCCAGTACTCAACACTCTCCCGCCGTTCTTATTATACATCCATATATATATATACAGCCGCCCGGTACTCAGTAGATGCGTCATGAGGTGCCGAACGGACATTCTCATCGCTCTAACCGCTGGAGTTTCACAGCGGCTGTCAGCTTGTTTACTCCTGTCATTCAAACAGAACGTGCTGGAGAGGGGGCGGGGCTTATCTTCTCCATGTAAATACTGTGGTGGAAACGACTATGTCAAAATTAACCTATTTGACCGTGATTTAATAGTAATACACGTTTCAAATAATAATAATAATAATGCCGAACATACTGAAAACTGTTAGTAAAACCATGTTTTAATGCTTTACAATTTACATACCTAGATGCACGTGTGTTGTGTTTATGCAGTGCAACTCCCACCAGTGGGTGGCTATGTAGAGTGATAGAACAGAGCAGGCACGCCCCCGAGAGAAGGAAAGCAAGTCACGTCACAAATTAGCATTTCTAAAATGTTAGCGTGGATTAATAAAAGTGCAAAAAGACAGCGGTTGTCGCCGGAAGAAACTTCAAATACAGAGAATGCTGTGCCTGTGTTGGAAATTGTGTCTGATGGGGAGCTTTCTTTGGTTGATCCTCCTGCTCCAAGTTCTAGTGCATTAGCATTAGCACTAGCTCCGCCGCCTCCTCCAGAGCCTCTAACGTTAGCTGCTGCTGGCGCAACTGCCACCACCAACACCGGGCAAAGCGATGCACCTGACTGCTGGACAACGGACCAGGTGCAATATTTTTGCAAGACCAATGCATGGCTCCTTCTTAAAGATAAGAAGCTAGGATGTCGGATATGCAGAGATGTCAAATCTTTGGGAATACACACTGGACAAGGACTGAAACTGTCAACTAAATGGGGTGAGTGTGCAGTGTCTCATTTCGGTGTTGACAAGGGCAAACAACAAGCTAGCCTGAGAAAAAAATCAAAGAACATAAAGAATCACAAGCCCATGTAAAAGCTGCTGACATCCTTACATCTGCTTCACGTGAAACTATTCAACATCAAGTGCAGTCTATGCATAAATCTGAATTAGACACCACTATCAGAGTTTTTCGAACGGCATATAAAATTGGCAAACATAGCCGGCCATTCACAGACATGCCAATTGATTTGAATGTACAGAAACTGAATGGGCTGAACGTGGGCAGGGTTTTGCACTCCAATAAAACCTGTGGCGAAATCATCGACCACATAGCTCATGAGCTGAAGAAAAAAATGACAAAAGACATTACAGAAAACCAAAGAAAAACTCTGTGTTTTGGTCGATGAATCTACCACTATTAGTGGTAAAACGGTGCTTGTTGTGTGTCTACGCTCAGCATTAGCTGATGCTGAGCCCGAAACGTTTTTTTGGGAGCTGATCGAGTTGGATGGAACAACGGCTGATGACATCACAAAGGCGTTAATGGAGTGTCTTGGAAGAGATTTTAACGAGGACTTTTTAGGTCAGTGTTTCGTTTATTTTGCATGTGATGGGGCTTCAGTCATGCTAGGGAAGAGAACAGGCGTTGCTACCCAGTTGTGTAGTAAATTCCCAAGCCTGTTTGTGTGGCAATGCTCCAATCATCGTCTAGAGCTGGCAGTTGGGGATGTGGTCAAGGAGGTCTCAGGGCTCAATCATTTCAGATCTTTTTGACAAACTCTATTCCTTGTTCCATGCCTCCCCCAAAAATCAGAGGCAGTTAGCGCAGTGTGCGCAAGCAGTCGGACAGCGTCTCCTGGTGATAGGGCGTGTTTTTGTCCATCCGCTGGGTGGCTTCAAGTGAAAGGAGCGTCAGAGCAGTCTGGGAAAACTACCGAGTGCTTCATGATCACTTCACAAATGCTGCAAACGAGACGAGCAGGGATTCCAGAGACAGAGCAAAGTACAAGGGCCTGGATGATGTGCTCACATCTGCAACGTTTGTCAGCAATCTGGGACTGATGTACGATGCGCTCACAGAGCTCAGCGACCTCTCTCGGCAACTCCAAAAAAGAGAGATGACACTGCCTACAGCAGATAGGCTCTTAACTCGAGAAATACGAGTTTTTGAATCCATGGTCACCATGCCTGGCCCACACATGACTACAGTTCATACAGCTCTAGCTGAGAAGTCCTTCAAGGGTGTTGCCCTGCGTGAGAATGGCAGGCTTGTACAGATTCATGCAGGTCAGTTTTTCCGCAGTATGGTAGAGAATCTGAGACACAGAATGACTTCCACAACCTCCTCTCATGTCAGCACAAGAGAAATCCCATTACATGGCCGGGAGGCCCGGGACAATCAGCTAATCCAGGACATGAAAGTTATCCATCCTGGAAGTTGGCCTGAAGAGGAGTTAGACGTACAGTATGGGGACATAGAGGTGCTACGTTTGTGCGAAGTGCTGAAAGTGGACAGAAGAGAGACTGTTCAGGGCTTTCGCGAATACAAGGAAACCAGGGCATCCCGTACACCTGCTGCCATGGAGCCTCTACTGAAAGCAGTCCGAACCATCGCTGTCTCCACTAGTGAGTGTGAGCGGGCATTCAGCTGCATGAACGATATCCTTACTGCAAAAAGGAATGCTCTCTCTGTCAGCCGACTGTCCAGCCTGGTTTTCATTAAATGTAATGGACCATCACTAGGACAGTTCAATCCGGAACAGTATGTGAGGTCCTGGCTGGCAAAGGGAAGGAGAAGTGCTGATGAAAGAGCCTGTCCAGCTCCAGCCCCTGATACTGATGTCCCCAAGACCTTCTGGAGCCTTTTCTAACAATGTGAAGTATATTGCAAAGCAGCTCACCCAGTGAGAAGACTTTTGGCATAATGTGCCGATTTGTACAGATCCTGGAGATAGAAGGACTTCAGACCAACCAGGGAGTTATCTGATCAGCTTGGTGTTCAATGTAACTCTTTACCATGGCTCAGACTTTGTTACTTGCAGTTACAGTTTCTCATTTAGATTGTGCAAATTTTGCATTTGTTTTACATGTTCTTTATTCATGCTCTTTATCATTTTTCTGAGTTGGAAAGTTAGATTGCATCATAGTTGACTTTATACATATTTGTATTCTTCAGTGGTGAAGTATATTGCAAAGCAGCTCAGCCATGTGAGAAGACTTTTGGCACTTTTTCGTTTTTCGTTTTCTGAGTTGGAAAGTTAGATTGCATTCAAAATGTACAGAAATACTTAATTTGTTAAAGCTTTTTATAAAAAATGCTTCTGACCAGAGCTTTGTTTCCTTGTCATTAATGTTGAACACCACCAGAGGGGCTCTCACCTGAAAGGTCTCTGCTTCATGTGTCTTCAGCAGAAGATCTAGACTTTGATTGCTATATTTCAGTTAATATTGACCTTACTGGGCTTTAGCCATATCCGCTGCCTATCATAAAAAATGTTAAGTACAGTGAACCTTTCTAAAATATACAGTAGTAAAGAGACAAACCCCACCAGCATTATAGTAGCCAAATTCTTGTTTGTGGGCTGTATATATAAAATTGACTTGAAAAAGTTGCTGATTTTAGAGTACTGGCACCTTTTTCATTCCAATTCAAGCACTGCTCCCACCACTACACTCCTAACTACAGAACTAACTAGCACAACACCAACAACCACCTTTCCAACCACAACTATAACAACAACCCCCGTCTTAACCACAACACTAGCCACAACAATACCAACAACTAAGATTCTGCAAACAACTACTACAAACAAATATTTTTTTCGCCGGTCAACATGTCCGTTAAAGTTAAATCTTCCGGACAAAATTAGAAAAGTGCCGGTCAAAGGACTTCTTTGTTATTTATTGTGCTTTAAAACAAATTGATATGATTCGATATTAAACAAACTAATCATAGTAGATTAACTATTCAAAAGTGTTCAGTAATTTACAATAACACGGGAATAATATACGGAGCGCTCTCTCCCTCTCTTGACAGCCCTTCAGTATCATGCAACTCGCGGATCAGTAATGAGTGACCCGACAGTAAAACTAAACATATCTATAACTAGTTTAGGTAGATTGAGAGGTAATTAAAATAGCTACGTGTGATATTCTAACCTGAAGAGTGTGTTTGTGTCCGATCACCGCTGCATGTGATCATGCAGAGCTGCGTGTCGACTCGTCAGCAGCAGCTGATCTCTCTCTCCCGTCAGATTAGACTCGCGTTTATGTCCATATCGATCAGATCCAGCTAGTTCTAGCTAATGATATGACTACCTGCTTATTAAAAGACACCTACACAATAAGTGTCGCTATGCAACTGGGTGAGGCCGCAAAGTATAGCGCAGCATTATGCATTTGTTTACATGCCCACCGGAACCCCGAGGCATTACCAACAGATCAACGCACAATCAACCCATCCAGGACATCTCTTTCTCCACATTAAGTGTTAGACATTATAATTGACTATTCTTGTCTGTCACATAATTGGCGCAAATTGCGCAACTGATGCGTTATTGCGCTAAACGGAAATTATTTTGAACGGACACTTTGACCGGAGAGATTTAGATTTGCCGGTCTTCAGCATATTTTACCGGTCGTCGTCCGGTAATTACCGGCTAACGGGAACTCTGCCACAACCACTATTACGACAACAATACCCACAACTATGACAACAACCACACCCACAACCACTATTACGACATTTCTACCTACGACGACAACAACCACACCCACAACCACCATAATGACAACCCTACCTGCAAACACACCAACAACCAGCATTATGACAACCCTTCCTACGACGACAACAACACCCACAACCATAATTATGACAACTGTATTAACCACCACAACAGCAACCACACCCACAACCACTATAACAACAACCCTACCCAAGACAACCACACGCACTATTATGACAACTATTTTGACAACTGTACCTATAACCACACACACAACCACTTTAACGACAACTGTACCTTCAACCACGATAACCGCAACCACTTTTCCATCCACCACCACCACCACAACAACTATGTCCACAACCGCCCTTACCACTACCCAACCTACCACCTCCCAAATAACAACGCCTTTTCCTCAAACCACTCCAGTGATCTTCACCTGTCCCATGGAGCCAACCAGTCAGGAGACATCGCCTTCCTTTACATATCAGTACAGAAACAAAGTTCAGGGGTGCAAATCTCAGATGATGATCTACACCACACTGCTGGTGTTGGAGATCACTTGCACACTTGTGCTGGCTAGGTTTACCCTGTCCCTCTATCGACTGCTGCAGCGCAGGGAGAGTAAGAACCAGAGGGTTGAACTAACCCAGTTCTCCTACAGGAGGAAGGTCATCCTCAGGCCTCTACATAGATGAATGTAAACAACAACTGCCCCTTTAGAGAAAGCTCACTTGTTTGGTGCAAAAGATGGTAAATGAGCATATTTGCAACCATATGATCTGCCAAGGCATTCTTAGGTAATACAATTAACCCTTTACTTGTTTATATAATGTTTTTTATGTATAACAAATTAACATCAATACAATATGAAATAAAATATAACTAAAAGTAATGCCATACATTCCCAATGTTAACCTATTGATCACATGCTTTAGCAGGCTGTTTATCAATGAAACAAATACATGTATTATCATGAAAGTCTTTGATTGTAAAGGATTTTTGAGAAAAAAAAAAAAATATTTTCATAAATAAAATTGATTCATGGATAATAAATAGTAAAGGTTGTCAAAAAAAGGAAACATCTTCCTGGAAATCTGTTTTACAGCAGGGAGAGACAGAGATCTATGAAATGGAAAAGGAGTTAGGAAACTTGATAATCTATGTCTCTGCAAGTTAGATGACATTGTAATAAATTGGATGAAATAGTTCAGTAATAAAGCTTTATTGTTACAGTAGCAATTTTGATTGCTGCAAACTGTATTGCACTGTCTCCATAAGGACATGTGCAATACAATAAAGGATCTTTACAGCTAAACAAATTAATCCCAGAGGTTAACTCATTATGTGGCAGAGAAAAAGACAGTGTGCAGGCTCTGGGTGTGCGTTGGTACGGTTGTTCTACCGGATAACTAAAGGTTAAATATAATTAGGCCTTTAATTAGATAGTAGCACAGAGAGAGAACAGTAGGGCAGATTCATTAACCTGTCTGTGGTGAACATGTCTGAGCGTTTGTGCACGGGTGTAAGTGGTAATAACAGAATAAAAACTAAAATTCATCTTAAATGTCTGCTTTCTGTTTGCTCTTATAATTGAGATAATAATTTAATTAAGTATTTATGAGGGTTAAGGGTCAACTTTCACTTAATTGTGTATATGTCATAAACTTCAAACTCTAAAATATCTACTTTGTATAAAAACTAAAAGGTAGCTACGAGGAAAAACTTAAACCCTCAGCAAAAAAGAAACTTGATAATGTTTTAGATGCATAGATGTGAATGTCTTCCACTAGAGGGCATTTCTCTGGTGGATAAAAACAGCACCTAAAAAACACGAAGACTACAGAAAAATATGTAACTGTTTCACTTTTAAAAATGCCACCTGTTGTGTTTCTCCCCCCAGTAAAACCTCATATTAAATTACAAGCTAAGTTACATCATGTGACATAGACAAGAAAATGTGGTTCAAGTAAAACATATTCGTAAATATTTAATCCGATGGGGATCCAATCTTAGACTACTACTTCAGAGGAGTGTTCTGAGAAGGAAAAACATTGTATGAGGTTGTGCCAGAAAGTAAGGCTTGTGAATGAAGAGTCCTGAATGAAGCTAACAAATGCTTTATCAGATTCACCTCAAGGCTATTTGAAGAGCGCCACACACCAGACTTTAGAGGGATGACTCATATTACATTAGATATTGCTGATGCTGTAAGTGATAAATGATAAATAAAGGGGACAGTGTGTAAGCCACCTGTTTATATCAAATTCTTAATCATATTTACATGTCTGCTTGACCAATCAATCACTGATAGTACACAATCTAACAGATGTCCGGCACTGATGAAGAACAACGTGCTTGCATAACTCAACTAAAGAGTTTCATGCCGCTCTGAATTGCAGCTGAGTGTAATGCACAGTTTGCTATTGTTTAAGACCTCTCCTGGGCTGTGGCAATCACAAAGCTATTCTTGTCTTGAATATGGAATAAGAATATGTCTTCATTATTTATCCAGATTTAGTGACTGGTGCATTTCAGTCCACTCCTACATGTTTCTGTGTCTCTGTGATTTCAGATAAAGCAGTTTCTGAGACCTTTGCAATTGGTCTGTAAAGGGAAAAAAGGGGATGCTGTTAAATCATCCAGGACGATTATAATGAAGTGTGTGCTTAACTGATATATTTGTTGCCGAAAAATAGTCTAATTGAAAATGAGTACCCACTCTCAATCCTACCTTGTAATACTGGAGGCAGATTTTCTCATGATACAAACAATATATTCATAATTAGAAATAAAACCTCACGATTCAGCGTTCAAATGTATCTGAACACCTGAAATCAAGGTCAGTTATATCTAACAGCTAACATATGACCTCGCACGATGTAATGTGACTATAATGACTAGCTGGAGCTATGTATTTTGCTGAGTACGGAGTTAAATGCCCTGCTCTGAAGTTTATCTGGTTTAAATGTTTCCAGAGCAATGGCGCCTGAGCCTCTACATGGGTTTACATTTGGAATAAGCAGTTGCCCCTCTTTTGTCCACAGCAACATAAAATGAGATAGAGGGCAAAGGATAAGATTATTGATAAACACTGTGAAAGGTCACAGGGTTGTTGTTTAGATTAAACCTCTTTCACTGTTTCTAAAAGCCTTGCTGATGGATCAGTATAGGCAACATGAAGAATCCTTTCTATTATAAGACATGCTCAATTCAGCTTATTTTAACTTCTCATTTTATACTTCTTTGGTTTTACAGTTCTACAGTTTTCAATATGAAACGATCTTCTTACAGAAGCAAAAATAACTTGTAATATAATTTGAAACCTCTGTTTAGGGAGGGATAAGCCAGCAAGTCCTGCTAATGAGCCTGAAATGGAGCTGAGGAAGTAATTGTGTGTGAAAAGGGCAATGTGCTGATGAACATAAGAGGCCATCAAATAAAGGGGAACCCATTATAGCCAAACTAAGGCATTTCAACTGGAAAATAGCTTGCAGTAACCAGGCGGATTTTCAGAAGGAATCGTACATCTGATTACCTGGGGTTGACTGAGTGACTTTAGACTTTGCACAAACTTCAAATGTAGGAATCTCGACTGCATCATTTGTGGTAGTGGGGGATTGCGTTCGCGCTCTCCCCTGATATATTGAACATTAAAAATGGAAGATGCATCTAATGCAAACATATTGTATGCCTCTGAATCTCAAGTGGTTCATCAATATAGTTCTGAGAAGTTGATGACTTTTAGTGGCAGTAGGAATTTATTTGACCTAACTTGTGTGCATCTAGGCCTATTTCATAACAAGCAGAGGAAGTAGGCTACCTATGACAATATTACTTATATATCCTCACATTCATTTTGATAAAAACAAATAAACATTAAGATAATCCTGCTGTAATTAACTTACAATCACAGAAACTGTGTCTCTGTTGTTAAAAAAACCCGCTATGGAAGTAAACTGTCCATCACTTAATAATCTGAGAATAATTTATTATCCTTTGGCATTTTCCAGAGACAGAAAATGAATACATACAAATGCACTGGGTAACTCCATGGTGGCTCAAAGGAGCTGTTTTTAGTTTGTCTCCAAAGGCATACTGCCCCAAGAGTTGAAATTGAAAATGGTCTTTACATTAGTCGGGGTCGTCAGTTTACTCAATAATAGAAAGGAACAGGTTGGTAACCATTTGATTAAACAAGCCTGTTCCTCCTGTTGGACGTGGATACAAGATATTATTGAAAACATCAGGCAAAACTCAAATAATAATGGTCAGCCCTAATACACAAGTGTGTCCTTTATATTAAAGCCAGGTTTTACAAAATAAATGATGTATTTCGCCTTGATAGAAGACATTTACATTTTTGGCACCATCAGTTAGCATGGTTTGTCTGTGAAACGCTCTCCCATCTCGAACCAGTACAACTTATACTTACCTGGCAGGGGTCTCCATGATCACTAAGGTGGCTCCCCTACGGCGAGGCGCGGCCATTGCACTGACGGCTGCTCTGACCTGTACAAATCCCTCAAATATAGGAATCTCGACTGCATAATTTGTGGTTGTGGGGGAATGCTTTCGCGCTCTCCCCTGATTAATTGTAAAAATTAACAATGGAAAAACTCTCTGAGATGTTGATGACTTTTAATGGCAGCAGGAATGTATTCGACCTGACTTACTTGTGTGCAACCATTTAATAACAAGCAGAGGAAGTATCTGTGACAATATTACTTATATATCCTCACATTCATTTTGATAAAAACACATTTACATCCAGAGAATCCTGCTGTAATCATCTAACTCTGTGTCTCTGTAGTTAATTTGCAACACGTTCTCACTCCCAACACGTCACATGTTGACGGTCGTCAGGGCCCCTCCCCGTCACTCTATTACGGACAGGGTACCTCTTGAGAGTCAGTTTTCAACGGGCAGGGCGTCCCATTGACTTGCATAGAGCTCCCTGAACATTGGTAATAGACGAGTTGGGATCGCGGCGAAATGCTCTCTGCAGATCCATTCTCACAGCGTTTATCAACCTTTTTCTTACTCAATATCAAGCCACACTTATTGTTTTTACTTCTTTATTTTAATTGAATAATGTAGGACTTTTGTTGCAGTCAGTTATGGGGAGAGTAGGGGCTCAAAATACTGAAATCTCTATTGTTTCATCGTTTTTTCCTTCTCCTTTTGTATTATTTTCTAAACCACACACTGTTATTTACTCAACAATAACACATAATTATCCTTGTGTTTATTTATTTGTTTGATTAATAAATACAAGTTGGAGTCCGTCAGGACCGAGGTTCGGAGCAGCTCATAGTTGCTTTAGAGAATTGTACACCCGGAAATTCTCTCCGCTTCGCTTGACAAACCCCCAAGCTCTGTGATTGGATGTTTGAGTGTGTGCCGAGGGTTACGCCGAGCGTCGAACAGCACTTTGAAATGGAATGGAACCACGGCAGACTGTCCAAAACTGGATTTGAACGGGTCCACTCCACCCCCACCACCCCGTCCCCAGAACTACACATGCTGGCTATTGTGTGTTTCGCAACATGTTCTCTATGGCACGTATCTGCTGGGAATTGT